TAGAAAATAAAGGTTATAGAATTAAATGCTGAAATTAAACATTGGTTCTAATTAGAAAAGATGCAGGTAAAGTAATCTGGAGACAAAATTCTAGAATGAAAGTTTTAGGGGCTACCTGGGGGACTGAGACAGTTACTCAAGTTCTTTCTTGGGTGTACCCACTTCATAATTAACAATAGTGCCTTGGGCATTCATGCAAGGAATTCCCTTCTCCCTTAGTCTTAGTATATTAATCTTCAAGATGCTAAGTAGAAATATCAAAGGATACTATTAACTATTCTACTGGTAGCTACACAATCACAGCTGGATGGGATTGGAGGAAAATCCAGATGTATAAATTAACTCTTCATAGCCAGTGTTCTCAAAGTTTGATTAAGGTATTGCCAGTATTTAAAATGGGGAATTCCTAGGCCACACACCAGAAATTTCTGACTAAGTTTCCAGCAAGGAGACTTGAGAATCTGAATGTTAACTAAACTCCCCAGGTGACTATTACATATGCTGGTGTTTGGGAAACATTGTTTTTCCAGGAAGAAAAATATTCCTCTGTACATATTTCAGCCAGAAACCATCTTTCTATTTCCTTTTTCTGTTCCCATCCCTAACACTCTAGCTATATTGCATTTAATACAACATATTGGGTAGTCTGCTTGTGATGGGAAACTTAGAAATACATGTTCATTTGTCAGCCTCAATCTTCTTAACCCTCCTTTGTTGGAGGGAATGATAGGCTGCCACTCAGCAGTTTCTCCACCTCCCATGGCCATGTGAGGGGAAGTGGAGTAGCTGGTTGATAGCATAGGCTTTGGCAGTGGAGAGACCTGAGTTTGAATCTCTTTGTGAGATCTTGGTTACATTTCTCAACCTGTCTGAGCCTCGATTTCTTCATTTATAAAATGCATTTCTATGTCATAATAATGTTATAAGGATTAGAATTAGTATTATATGTAAAGAGGTTAGCTCAGTGTTGGGCATAGACTAAAAACCTAATAAATATTAGATGGCATTATTTGTTTTTGTTTTGTTTTGTTTTGTTTTTTTGAGACAGAGTTTTGCTCTGTCACCCTGGGTAGAGTGCTGTCGTGTCATAGCTCATAGAAACCTCAAACTCCTGGGCTTGAGCTGCCTCAGCCTCTGAGTAGCTGAGACTACAAGTGCCTGTCACTTCATCTGGTTAGTTATCCTATTTTTCTGGGTAGGTTCTCACTCTTGCTCAGGCTGTTATCAAACTTCTGAGCTCAAGTGAACCACCCAACTTGCCCTCCCAGAGTGCTGGGATCACAGGTGCTGTGGGCCACTGTGCCCATTCTGGATGTCATTACTCTTGATAGGTTTAGTCAAGAGTTCTTCAGTCTCAATAGTTGTTTCTTAAAGGATAGCATGTAGTTAAATGATTTTTTCATTCATGAATATCTGGAGATAAAGCTTGGTTACACCTCTAGAAATTCCGGCATTCAGTTTTGGTATAGATAATTGACTAGTGTTCAGAAAACTGCCCAACTGAGAACAGGCAATAATCTCTATGTACTTTGGCAGTAAGGACAAAAATATTAAGATAGACCAATTATGTCTATCTTACTGATAAAATGAATCAATATGAAGAGAATTAAATTTTTATAATAATCACCTGGGATATTACAGATTCTCATTTTTATTTTTTTTGCAGTTTTTGGCCGGGGCTAGGTTTGAACCCACCACCTCTGGCATATGGGGCCAACACCCTACTCCTTTGAGCCACAGGCGCCGCCCGAGATTATAAACTCTTAATGTATCTTACAACTGAGAATCTGATGTAACCTACAATCTATTTACTAGAAAAATGCCATGTGCACACTTAGAAGCACTTCTGCATTTAGTTGCAAAGTGTTCTGTGTATTTCCTAGCAATGGAGCCCTTGCTTTAGAAATAGTCCATCAGAGACTGAGATTAATGAGGCTAGGTCATTCTTAGATCATTTTCTCCTAAATATACAGAAAAACCCAAAGGGTGGCCCAACCTGAGCCCCACAGGCCACAAGAGGATTCTATGAAGTTTTCCTGGCTTATCTGTGATGTCAGATATCATGCAAAGTATGCATGGACCTTTTCTTTGCTCATCAGCTTTTGTCAGTGTCTGTGCATTTCCTGTGTGGCCCAGCACAGCACCTCTTCTTCCAGTGTGTGGCAGAGAAGCCAAGAATTAGGGGGCTGTGGCTTTCCCACAGCACTGACCACTAGTCAGGAAGGCCAGGTGTGGCTGGTTATGTTTACCTGCATCTGGCAATTGCTGGCTGGAGAAAACTCTATCAGTGGTTCTCAACCTTCCTAATGCTGTGACCCTTTAATACAGTTCCTCATGTTGTGGTGACCCCCACACATGAGGAACAGTGTCTTGGTTCCTAAGACCATCAGAAATATGTGTCTTAGGTGATCCTTGTGAAAGGGAAAGGGTCATTCGACCCCCAAAGGGGTAGCAACCCACAGGTTGAGACTTAAAATTTTTAAGATGGCTTCCTTTAAACAGCTCTTTGGGTCTAATTGTTTGTAGCTTGAAATCATAAATATTATAAGCCTGTTTATAGAGGCTAACAGCCTGTTTATAGAGGCTCTCTGTTACATCAGAAAGCATGTAAATTAACTCGCCTAGGACCGCATAGCTGGTGGTGTAGCCAGCTAGAACTTGAAGCCAAATATCCCCTGCAGCGTTCACTATTTGGACTATTTTTTCATGAAGGGTGTTTGGACCTGTGGATGTTGGTCTTAACTTGTTCACAGATTTTGTCCTTTGTCCATCCCCTTCCTATTATAAGTGGACTGAGATTCTGAATGCGGCTTTTTTGTAGGGCCCAAGATCTATTTCTTTTCTTTTCTTTTCTTTTTTTTACAGACAGAGTCTCACTTTGTCCCCCTCAGTAGAGTACCATGATGTCACAGCTCACAGCAACCTGCAACTCCTGGGCTTGGGCAATTCTCTTGCCTCAGACCAAGATCTATTTCTAATTGAGCACGTGGATTTTTTCTTCCCTTGCTGAACATCTTGCCAGCATCTCCGAGCAGGTGGATTCTTGCTAGGCTTGTCTTTTTTGGGTGCTGCGGCCCTGCAGCAGAGACACCCAGGACCTGTCTCACATCTTCACAGAAGCCCTTCCTGGACAAGGGCTCATCAACCTCAGGGCTTTTCCAGCTGTGGCAAAGGCCATGCTGTTCTGCTCATCTGCTGCTGGGAACCAGGTCTACTGAATGTGGCATGAAGAGAACGTGTTGTGTTCTCTCTGGAGAATGCATTCTTTCTTCCAGGATAGTCTTCTCATTAGAAAGGAGATTCACATTTATAAGTTGAATTACTTCTTCTAATATACAACCTTAGCACCTGACTTGACATTTAAAGATTTGCTGTCACCATACAAGATCAGAAAGCAGAAATGAGGCCAAACTACCAGCCGTGGATGTGCAGTGTGAGACAGTTAAATTTTTTTCCTCTGTGTTAAGTATTGGACTATTGTGCAGGTACTATAAGGAAAAAATATTAAATTTTTTCATAACATCACATACACCAAAATAAATTTGGGATGGGGTGGGGGGAGTTTAAGTACGGTAAAGGAATGATAATAATAAACATACAGACAAATGTTAATATAATTTTGGTTTGTCAAGATTTTTCTGAGCATAAAAGCAAAGGAAGAAGCCTTAAAGACAGACTGAAAAACATAACTTTATATACACATATTAACCTCATCTGTTAACAATTATGGATAACAAATCAAAAGGTAAATGTCTAATGGCCTCACTAGAAAAGCCTCGCTAGCTTTTCTGCAGCAAGGCCATAAAATAAAATCAAGGCCGTAAACAAGCAATCACTGAACATAAATGGCCAAAGGATATAAAATATTGTATTTCATTAGTAGTGAAATCAAAGCATATTAGAATGAGAGACTGTTTTCACTTATCAGTATTGCAAACATTTTAACAGATAATAAAAGTAGTTTGGGCAAGAGTTTTGGAAATTGACATTTCATCTGATACACCTAGTGGAAATATCAATACATATCAAAATCATTAACACATACATGACTTTTGGCCCAGGAATTCCAATTCTAAGTATTTATCCTGAGGAATTTATCAGAGATGACAATATTTATGGGATGTTTAAACATGATTAGATGACTTTAATAAAATTTGCATTTCTGCAATGGAATACTATGAAAAGATAAAAGTCCTGTCTTTGAATTTCATCACCCTCACATAATTAGATCAGCTCCAGTACCACTAGGCTTGGAAAAAAGGATTTTTAGAAACAAAAATACTATACACAGGAAATCATATGGACATAATCCTTCCTGATGAGAATAAACAGAAGTGAGAAAATGCTCAACTGAGTGGGAAGAAGATTTAGGGGAGAGATGAGTTTTTAAAAATCAAGGAACACTGAGGTCAATGAGCATTTACTTAAAAAATTATAGAGTGGATTTGGCCGGGTGCAGTGGCTCACGTCTGTAATCCTGCCACTCTGGAAGGCTGAGGGGGTAGATTGCCTAGGCTCAGGAGTTCATGACCAGCCTGAGTTAAAGCAAGAGCTAGGTTTTTGCTCTACTAAAATCCTAACCAGGCATAGTGGCAGTTGCTTGCAGTCTCAGCTACTCGGGAGGCTGAGGAAAGAAGATCACAGCAGCCCAGGAGTTTGAAGTTGCTGTGAGCTATGACACCACAGCACTCTACCAGGGTGACAGAGTCACACTCTGTCTCAAAAAATATATAAAATAAAAATATGAAGTGGATTAAAAACAAATTACAAAATGATGCCTATATCATGGTCCCAATTTTGTGAGTTGTGTAAGTATTAAATCTATACTGAGGTGTTGACAATGTTTATTTCAAAGTGTCAGGAAGAGAGCTTATGATTATTATAACTCTGTAGATTTCCAAAATTTTATCTGTAACCATGTATTCTCGAAAAATGTGGTATTAAAAAGAAGAGGGAAAATTTGGCTTAGTAAAGGTTATTCGAAGTTTTGGGGGCCTTACTTTGCTTCCAGGGCCAGAGCGAAGATGCCAGCAGCCAGAGGTGCTGAGGCTGAGGTGCCGGTGTGGGTCTTGGTGCAATCGTTGTGCAGGTCGGCGCTTGTCTGGATGCATCAAAGAGAGAAAGGCAGGAGAACTTGTGAGGGGTGTGAGCCGCCCTGGGCCTGGTCTAAGGGCAGCATCTGCTGTGACCAGGAAACTCAGCTGACTCAATTCCCCACTTTCTCCTCAACACCACGGACGGATGTTTGCCATCTGCTGGTATTTCAGCTCACCATCCTCTATGTGCAACTTGTCAATAATTCTGGCAACAAGATGCCTTTTCGGGGGATGAAGTACTCCCACCAAGAATATTTTCTCTTCTGAGATTCCCAAATGAAATGTTGTCTATAAAAAATGAACTGTTTAAAAATCACTATGAATCATGCCAGCCTATTAATCATCAGGTCCATTGTGTTTGGTCTGGCATATTTAGAAATTCTGCCTCAGACAAAATTCCCTTTTGCCTTCAGATTGACAGGTGGCTGCCTCTTCAGCTAGAGGAGGCAAAGCCAGCCTAGTCTCAGCCGCTTCAACCACTGAACAAAATCTGCTCCGTGTCTGGTTTGCGCTCACTGTTGACTATACTTGATGCCCATGAGCTGGTGTCCACACCTGCACTGCGATAAACACAGAAGGTTTTCAAAATGAAAAGTGTGCTGGCTTAGTTCTGTTACTTATTAGCTATGTCCCATGAGCAAGTGGTCTGGTTTCCCTCTCCACCTGTAAAATGAGATTCATATTTCCTGACTCATGTTCTGAGGTTTAAATGAGATTCTGTCTGTGAAAATGTTTTTACATCATGTGATGACATATAACGAATTATCCAGGCTAACTTTAGGGGAAGGCTGCTGAGCTGAAAGGAAGAAACCCCAAAGACTCACGATCAGTCTGCCTACAGGCACCACAGCACTGTGCTCAAACAAGCAGTCGGTCCAAAAGATTACTAACAAGACACCCACCCCAGCTCCAGCATTACAGTTCTTAGCTAGAGATTTCAATGCGTGGGAGGGAGGTGTAAAAAAATAATTCCTTCTATTATCACTTCCATTGGCTTCCCACTTGGAGTCGCTGAGTTTCTCTAGCGATGGTGGCTCTGCTCCTAGGAGGGCTGCGGAAGCAAGGTTGCCCTTTTTACCTGTTGACGCAAGTGAGCCCCCAGAGATGACTGTACTGAGAACAAGGTTTGCGTAAGAAAAAGTCCTTGTTCCTGCCACTGTCTCAAATAGAATCTACCAGCTGTCTCTCCCAGGGCTGGCTTACCTAAGGAGGGATTTTTTACAAAGATAAAAAATCTTTTTTCTGCCTCAGTGTAGGATAGCCCAGAAAAGGGCTATGAATAGGGGATGTTAAATGCTTAATGGGCCATTTTCTAAAGGTAGCTCTGGACACCCAGTAAGAGGACAACAGCCAGGGCCTCGGAGCACAGGTGGGGCAAGTGTCTGATATGCCCCTTTCAAAGGGTAGAAAATCTGCCTGCCCCCAAAGAACCCCTGGGCAGGCAGAATGTCACTGTCTGTGGTCTGAGGAACTGAAGGTGTGGGCATGAGAGGAAGGGTCCCTGTGTGAACCAGGTTGCAGAAGCAGGCAGAGGTGCCGAAGGGTGTGGAGAGGACCTTAGTGCTGACCGTTCTGGTGAGATGCCATTAAATGGAACATTGTACATGTTCCTAGGCAATGATCACAGGACTTACTCATCAATCGGATCCTAACCTGCTATTTCCTTGAGACTAGGATCTATATACTTCAGCTAGTTTGTTTTTCTGTGTCAGGAGTTAAATTTGTGGCTTTAAATTTTTAGATTAAAAGCACCTCTCTTCATTGTCAAAGCCCCTAAATGCCCCTTTACCACTGTGCCCTTGAAGGGAAGTCCAATAATTGCCCTTGACAGTCTGACTCATGAAGTGAAGGCAGCCCTGAGTGTGGGCTGGAGGAGGGCTCTGAGCTTTCCCAGATCCCAGCAGGTCACCTAAGGGAAAATTGAGACTGTTATTTTCTGCAGGCCATCCATTCTTAGGAGACATCGCTGGCGTAGACTCTGTATTTTTGTTATCTGCTAAAGGGCAAGTCAGACTATATCCCTGCTATTAAAGGATCAGCCAGCACAAGGGTGATACAGCTCCGCAGCCCCAAAATTGCCTTGAAGGCTGTTTCCAGGGAGGCCTCAGACAAGCAGAAAAGACATTTGGAGTCTTGGCTGTGTGTGAATGACAGGTTTGGTGACTTCTCAGGGTTGAGTTTAAAAATGACAGAGAGGAAGGTCATTTTGGCAGAAGTGCCATTATCCCTGGAGAATAAACTTCCCAACATACGCCAGCCTTTCAAGTGAGTAAAGGGCGGCCTCTGACCGACCCACACAAGGAGCTTCAGCAGCTGTCTCACCACAGGTCGCCAGCATGCCCTGAGCTCTGGTCCCTAAGCAGAGAGTTAGACAGAAGCAACCTACGATTCGCTGGTCGGTGTAGTCCCCGCTGCTGTAGGAGGTGGCCAGCGTGGAGGAGCACTTCTCAGCGTACCAAGGGGACAGGCCCTGCTGTGAGGCGCTGCTGATGGAGATGGTGTAGATGCTGTCTGTGTAGCCGTCGCAGTCACAGTTGTCTCCCTGTCGCCCACCATTCCCAGAAGCCCAGACGAAGATGGAGCCCTTCCCCTGTCTGCCCTAAGGGAAGAGCCAGAACACACAGCACCTGTTATTATCCATGGCAGTCATTGTCATATCCCAATAAAATCCCCAGCAAGCACACGTGTGAAGTTCTCAGATACAGTTACGCAGGGTCTATTTCCAACTCCAGGCTTTTCCGCAGTGGGGGAAATGTTGTGAGACTGTGTACTGCACCCCGCCCCTGGAGTCTGGCCCTGCAGTCCTGGGGCCCTCTCTGGAATGGGGCTGAACATGCACTTTCCTCTCTTTTCTTTATCACGTGGATTCTTAATCTAGCCTTTAGCACTCGCTCATCCTTTCCCACTCCTCTTATGTCACTGTGCTTGCATCTCTGAACTTCCTCTCTCTCTCTGCTTGAATCTTCTGGCTGATGGATAGAATGATAAAATCAGGCATTATTCAGCTCTGCCGCGCAGCTGCATCAAAAGGGACTCTTCAAGTGAATGGAATTCATCAAGGCCGCCCTTTCTATGATTTTTCAATTTGTGTGCTCGCCAAAGTTTCTACTTTTGTTTCATCCTGTGGAGTCCAAGGCCTCAGAATCTGTGCAAAGACAGTAAACCCGAGCAGCAGACAGCCCAGCCAAGGCAGCAGTGCAGCAGGCACGGCGGAGGGCAGCGTGCATCTAGATTTAAGGATGGGTTTTCAGTGCATTTGAAAGAAGTCTGGGCCAGAGTTTACCTAGTGCAAAAACTCCAAAGCAGCAGGAAAACGAGAAAAGAGAAAGAAATGCCCAAAAGTACTTTTAAAATAAATATCCTAAAAGTGATGAAATTCTGTCATCAAACCCAAATAAGCAAAACTCTGTTAATGTCTTTCACCCCTTGGAAGAATGATTTGGCTAAGTGCATTTAAAATTATAAAGGTCTTGGCTCGGCGCCTATAGCTCAACCGGCTAAGGCGCCAGCCACGTACACCTAAGGTGGCGGGTTCAAATCCCCAGCCCGGACCCGCCAAACAACAATGACGGCTGCAACCAAAAAAAAATAGCCGGGCGTTGTGGTGGGCGCCTGTGGTCCCAGCTACTTGGGAGGCGGAGGCAGGAGACTCGCTTGAGCCCAGGAGTTGGAGGATGCTGTGAGCTGTAATGCCACGGCACTCTACCCAAGGGGACAGCTTGAGGCTCTGTCTCAAAAAAAAAAAAAAAATTATAAAGGTCTTTTAAAAGACATTCACAGCCATTCCTTTCCACATAACCTAAGTGTTCTTTCTCTCTCCTCCTATCCAAAGGGTCAGGTTGCCCCTCATGTGGCTCTGTGTTGCATATCTCACCTGCTTGACACCATACTCAAAAGCCTTCTGGGCCAGCCTGCCAGGCCCTTCCACAGTCTTCCCATCATCATTAGGGCCCCAGCTGGCACTGTAAATATCCACATGCCCAGGATTGAATCCAATCGAACTGGCCTCAATGGCATCTGTCACAATGCCATCCAGCATTCTTATGCCTGAACAACAAAACAAAAGTTGACGTCAGTAGGTACATGGCAGAAAAAGCACAATGTTGTTAATGTTTATTTTTTGTATTAAATCATAAACACATAGATCATGTAGAGTATAAATGTCTTAACACAATCATTAAGTAAATGAGGTAAGGGATGTATTAACTAGTGCGATGTAAGCTTTCCAAATTGAATATTTATATTTTTAAAGGACTCTTGAAAGAGTTAAAACCAAGGCCACCACTGGATGTCCCCAATGCCTGTGACCCAGCTGCTAACAGCACAGAAGGGTAGTATAAATCACTGCCTCCATAACTGTTCTTGTCTCTTTAGGGCTTATACTATGCAGTGAGCAAGCAAACAGCTATTTTTTTTTTTTTTTGGTCCCACTTCTGCTCTCAGTAATACCTTTGGGAATGAGGTCGCAGAGGGGCAGTATCCTTAGAACACAGGAGTGATCATGGTTGCACCCCTCCTCCACCACTATGCCAACAAAATGGCAGAACAGCTTTCAGAAAGACCCACCAAACAGCCCTGGTTTGATGCACCTGCTAATGACTGTGCTAGAAATGGCCACAGCCCCTTCTGTGCCATCAAAGGGTCCTGGACAGGAAACTGTGCAGCTTGAAAAGATTGAGCCACAATAGGAAATGAGCAAATAGGGAAAGGACTCTTGTTTCTAAGCACTGATTAAAAATAACCCAGAGGCCATTCATTCATGTGTTTGCTAAGAACCATTTTCAAGACACACGCTTCCTTTTCTCCTAATAATCTCAAGGGTGAAATCATTGCCATGGGCTTCCACTCTCGAGGGGGAGTGACTCTTCATCAGGAGAAGGTAGATGCGGTAGCTGTTGGGCTTTCCAAAAGGCTGTCACCCATCATCACCCTCATGAATTTAAGTGCCAGGGAGGCAGGAACAATTTGGACAGATACAGGCAGCTACCTGGTTATTTCTGGCTGCAGGCTCTCAGTGCAGTGCAGCACAGTCTGACATCCTCACACTGTTACTTACTATGCAGTAGAGTAAGCAGACATGTAACTGACATGATCAGTGACAGTTCTATCTGTTACAAAAAATTACTTTAAAATAAACTTGGAAGATAAAACATTCCCAGCTCTGCTACTTACTAGCTATGTAATATTGAGCAAGCCATTAACCTCATCTCAATTTCTTCAACTGTAAAATAGAGATGATGATAACAGTTCACGTGCATTGAAGATATTCTACGTACAGCCCCCACTCTGCAGGGCTTACATGTATGAACTCATCTAGCCTTATGACAACCATTTTGAGTGGGTGCTGTCTTTCTCTCCATTTTATAGGTGGAGAGATTGAAAACAGAGAGGGACAAGGGCTTGCCCACAGACACACAGCTTGAAAACAGGGAGCTGAGATTTGAACCTGACAGATTTAAAATCTGGCTCCTAAATCCATCCCTGTGAACCACCTGGATACACTGCCTATAATGTGTTGTAGGGTAAATGATTAATATACAGTAGCTAACTAATAAATGAAAAGAACTATTAACAAATGTATATGGAGTTAGATCACTAAAAGCTAGAATTGCAGGAGGGGTGGGAACCTGCAGCCTCAAGGTCACATGTGGCCCCCCAGGTCCCCAAGTACAGCCCCTCAATCAAATCCATACATCACAGAACAAATCCTTTCATTAAAAGAATTTGTTCTATAAAATTTGGGCTCAGTGAAAGGCTGCATTCAAGGATTCAGAAGGCCACACATGGCCCCAAGGCCACAGGTTCCCCACTCCTTAGATGACTCTCTCACAAGCTAAGGCTGTTTAGTTCATCATGACTTAACATGTGAATTATTTTTCTAGTTGATTACATAATTTTCAATTCTGCCTTCATTTTCTTTAAATTAACAGAGTGCTTTGAATAAATTAGTACCAAAAGAATAAAGAATAACACTTAAAATCTTAGAGTAACCTATATTAATGAGAGAGGCATTATAAATGCCAGGGTGTGTATTTATGTGATTTCTTAAAAAGAATACATAACCAAATTCAAGTTTATTCAGGCAGAGTTCAATGGGATTTTATTGTAATTGACATGTTCCAAAATTGTCGGGGGTTTTTGTGGTATAGTTTTGGAAAGCAAAACTAAACACTAAGTTAAGAGATGCAAGCATGATGCAATGGTACATTTCAAAACTATTAAGAAAAGAGTATAACTGTGATGGATGTGTTACTTAGTTCAATGTAAACATTTCACATTGTATATTGAAGCAGTACCCTGAACCCCATAAATGCATCAATGTACAAAGTTATCATTTAATAAAAAATAATTTTTTAAAAAAGAGCATAATGTGAAAGCCCGAAGCAGGGAGAGCATCCAAAGGAGAGATAGGTACCCCTGCAGCCCACCTTCCAGGCTGTATCATGCCGTCACACTGGGTTTAGGAGGCTGTCCCAGTGAAGACACCAGCAGGTAGGTGGAGGATGAGATGAGAGGGATAGCTAGTTCTCTGGTTCCTCCCACCTAAAAGAACTCTGCTATTGTAGTCAAGGCCCATCCAGCCACATGTGACCTTGAGGCTATAGGTTCCCACCCCTCCTACAATTCTAGGCTCTCCCTCATGACCACTCCTCCACTTCCTATGAGGTTGCCTTCCCTATGCTCCTTCAGGCCTAAAGATGGCAACATCTCCCTACCTTTGCTAGTCCCTCATTGGTTTCCTCTAACTTTTATAAATAGTTTCTTTATGTATGGAGAATCCTCAAGGAACTGAAATAGACCTTCCATTTGATCCCACAATCCTATTACTAGGTATCTACCCAGAAGCAAAAAAAATCATTTTATCATAAGGAAATTTGCCCTAGATGCCCTAGATTATTACAGCTCAGTTTACAATCACAAGATGTAAAAACAACCTAAACACCCATCAACCCAGGAATGAATTAACAAACTATAGTATATGTGTACCATGGAATACTATTCAGCCATGAAAAAGATGGAGACTTTATATCTTTTGTATTAACCTGGATGGAGACAAAACACACTCTTCCTAGTAAAGTAACACAAGAATGGAAAAGCAGGTATCCAGTGTACTCAGTACTAATATGAAGCCAGCAGATGAACTAATACATGTCCCCACAAGAGAAAAACTCAATTCAATTCAAGTTGGTGGAGGGAGAAGGGAGGAGAGAGAAGGATTGTTGTGTTCCCAACTAATGGGCACAATGTAAGGGTGTATGGCACACCTCCTAGGTGTGGGGCACAACTACAACAGGTACTTTACCTAACAAATGCAAACATTGTAACCTAATTGTTTATATCCTCACAGTAATCTGAAATTTTAAAAAAAGTCTTCAGTTGCCCTAATGGGTAATTTACCATGTGGTTCCTCATAAAGATACTAAAATAATTAGATATTCTACATCTTTGCTATCAAAGATAACTTTTGCTTTCTCGATATAATGGCTAAATTCTAAGCAGTGTTTTGCTGGTAGCTCACACCAGTAATCCCAGCATTTTGAGAGACCAAGATGGGAGGATTACTTGAGGCTACAAGTTCAAGACCAGGCTGGGCAACATAGCAAGACTCTGTCTCCAAATAAATAAATAAATAAATTTCTGAAGCCATTATTTGCTATGGAAGTAAGAACTTCTGCAGATTTGAGAGATAGGGGAAGTCTTTGCCTAAATTTACCTCCTCCTTCTTCTTTAGCAAGCACTTAATAACAGCCCCTTTTAAATTTGAACATAGAAAAACTTAGATTTGGTTCAAAAGATATCCAACATTCCAATGTTTATTTCCCGCAAAGGTCTATAGGCTATATTCAGCTATCTGTTTTCCTGGAATCTATATCCACTGATTTGTTTGCAAAGCATGCTCAGGTCCCTCAACAAATTTTGCTTGGAGCTCATTTCTCCCTCTTTTTTCTTGGAAACAAAAGCCTTCCCCCATTTATAACAAGTGGTGAAAGCCTCATACTAAAGCACCAAACTACAGGAACAGCCTCCATCTTACCTCCAACTTTGGAATTGTATGCAACTCCAACCCCACATTTGCGATTATTTGCTTGCATAGCAATTTCTCCTGCACATCTGGTCCCATGTCTAAGGATTGAAAAAATAATAATCACAAAACAAAATAAGAACAAAATATTTGTCCTGCATATGAATGAACCCATGGCACATAGATATATTAGCTTTTTGTTAGCCCTGTTGCTGGTTTTCCTCCCATTAGCACTAGAGGAAATTTATTTTCAGATGAAGGGCACAGGTACTATGGGGGCCCAAGTATGTGAGTTTGAATTCTGGCTTTTGTTGTTAACTAGTGGAGTGACCTTGGGTAAGTTACTTATCCTCAAAGGGCTGCTATGAAGATCACATGAGCTCATGTGTGTGGCACACTGGGAACAGTAGCTGCAGGGAGTGAGAATCCAGCGAGTGCCAGCTGTTGGTGTTAGTATAGGAACTCTGACACTCAGAAACATTTGAAAGAAATGGCTTGTGCTGCACACGGTATAACACCAAAGTGGCCCCTCACCTTCCTCCCTAGTGACTGCCATGGAGTCGGTTGTCCTGGCCCAGCCTCTGGAGGATATATATGACAGCACCAAGGCCCCTTTAAGCCTCCTCCTTGCTTTCTGACCACATGCCACACTAACATGTCTGAGGACTGTTTGGTACCAACAGGAGTTTGAGACCTTCACGAGACACTGCAGACTAGCTGAAAACCAGGATGTTCTTGTACCTCTGACTGCGGCTAGAAGCCTCAACAAGATGGGTTTTGCCATCAGGCAAAGAGGATAATTTATAATTCCAGAGGACTTGGAAGGGGAAAAACCATCTCTATCACACCAAATTCCACCACTAACACGTCATTTCCAAAATTCTGGGGATGTTAATTGTCTTTCCCACCACTGGCCACTCAGGCAGATCAGCAGGCCAGGAGCACTTTAATGTGAATTCATTTATTTTAGAGCTTTCTTCCATTGCAGAGTCATCTGAAGCAGTGTGAAGACTGCAGCCTGGAAGAGCCATTGACCAGATATGCTCACTTAGAGGAAAGAGAACCTCATTAGCTCTCAGCAGCAATGTTGGCTGGACATCTTTTAGTTCGGCCTAGCATGGAATAAAAATTCCTAAATTGATTCAGCCATCCAAAAGAATTCTGTTTAACTTCTTTTTCCTGAAGTACCAAAGAGGATTTTCTGATCTCTTCTCACTACACAACATTCCTGCCCCTTCGTGTTAACACTGGTGGGAATTGTAAATCAGGACAATATAATTCCCTTTAATTCTTGGTCTTTCCAGATGCAGCCAACATCTACTGCTGCTTTTTCTGCTAGTATTTCCCTTTGGGGGAAGTGACCCTCCGAGATTTCTCATGGTTCTTTCAATCTTGGGCCTCTTCTCTCAGATAGCTGTCAAGGATGGATGCAGATTCTGGAGAGGAGGACCCTGCTCTTCCTGGGCATCTCACATGTGATGTCTCAGGCAAGCCATTTGGCTCTGGCTCGGCCAGGCAGGGTTCTGTTGTCAACAAAGCTATGTGGAGGGGGGCAGCATTGGGGTGGAGGCAGAGCACAGGCGACCTGAGGACATATTTATTTGGCTTCTGGATCTTACCATTTCTGAAGTTAGAATATCCCTTGAGTGATTTGTTGTTTTGGGTTTTTTTTTAATCCCCACATAATTTTTGAGTTAGAATTCTTTCATGGACAACTGAGGTTGTCCTGACCAACCCAGGCATTCCCTGAGCAGCGTGTGCCCATGGGGTCACATGGAAGGCACACTCTGTGCTCCTGCTCTGTGTGTGTGTGTGTGTGTGGGGGGGGGTCAGCCTTCTGTGCTCTGTAGAAGACTCAGTTGTCATCCTCTGAGAAACATGTTTCCAGAATCACCACTGTCTATATCTCCATTTATACAGAATGGGAGATAGGGCCCAGTATAGCAAAAACGTCCAGGGCAAATGTCCAGCCTAAGCCAATAGATTCATCCTATTCACAAACATCCCCAGAATTATATCTCTATCCTAAAAAGCCATGTGATGTGGGAAAAAAAAAAAAAGATGTAATGTGAAACCTCCTACAATTTATCTCTCCTTCTATACTTAAGAACTGACTGTCTTCTAGTGCAAATTGCAGTACAGTCATGGTACAAAGACGGTTGATGTGTTTTCCTCCTCTGATCCTCCTTCGCCACTCCACAAAGTAAGAAGAAGGGAAGACTTTGTCAAAGTGTGCCTGTCCCATTCTCACAGACCTGCTGCTCTTTTTCTTTCCTAAATGGTGCCAAGGTAAAAGAACCCTCTATTACCTCAGAACAATGGCTGTAACTGGCATTTCAACAAATTGATTTAAAAAAAATTCCACAAGATAGTTTTAAAACTGCTATTATTATGGTTAAAATACCCTTGTCATACATGTTATTTTACTAGAAAAATAATCTGCAATTGGTGTTGAAATACTAAATACAGATTCATGCCAGCTTAATGGTAAGACTTACTTGCCCTTTTAAGATTTTATTATTTAGTGATTCCTCCTTTGACTTGCAAAGAAGCATTTACCTGTGGCTTTATTCATCTCATTTACATAGTAATAAAGAGCAGCAGCAATACAGATAGTTTGGAGAGATAACAATGCCCTTGGAATTGGGAGATAATAGGTCTCAAATTGCTATAAAGGCCAAGACAAATGGAGCCATTCATTTTCCAAACCTACGGGATTTATGTCTGACAACATGCTAGAAGGGTAACTCTGTCTTTTATTATTTATACCTTCTGATACATGTCAAGAGGGCCTTGGGAGATAGCTCACTTGAGTCACATTTAAATAGCAGTTTCGGAAACAGCTCAGAAAATTGACTTGTGTCTGCACTGCTTATACCAAATAATATGACTCTTGTCATATTGATTTCTCACTGAAAGACGGTCTATCCCCGTTGGCAAATGAGAAGCCTGATCATCCTCATCATCACTGTCATTGTCACTATCATCACAGTCATCTCAGCAAACACTTATCAACTTCTTTTCACACTAGACACCTGACAGTGTCTAACCCTTATATATTAACACATATGAACTCATTTAATCCCTATAACTTAATGAAGTAGGTGCCCCTTTTCAAAAGATGATAAAACCTAAGCATAAAGAAGTTACAGAATTTGCTCATGATCACTCCGCTATGGGTATTAAGTGGCAGACGTAAGATTAGACCTAAATCTGCCTCCAAGGTCTGTGCTCATGCTACTAGCACGCTACCTCCGCTGTGCAGGAGGCTGGAGCAGGGTGGCTGCAGGCCACGCTCTGGAAGCTCAGAGCTTTCAGGCGCAAAACAATTATTATATGGGCTGCTTCCTTGCAGCCGCTAGAGCTCCCTGAGTTGGGGAATTATATGTATACATATATGCTATTATAAACGCTGTGCTGTGAGAGTAACCCTTTTGGGGACAGGAAAGAGTAAAGTCTGAGTCTTCCCTCCCATGAGCGGAGAAACTCAACAGAACATCATTTAGTCAGGCGTTCACCTACTGCTCAGCCACCACGCAAGTCATGCGCACTGGAGCCCAGGGTCAGACCCAGGACCCGCCCAGGGAGGGGCTGACGCCTCCAGCTGCGTGTCCACAGCTGCACCCACACAGCTGGGCGCAGACTTCCCTCTCAGTCTTAATCAAGGGGAGGGATGAATGTTGTTACTTTGACTGCATTCTGGAAGGGTGCCTACTTCTTCCAAATACTTATCGCACATTTCTTTAGGAAGTTCCTTTCAGAAACACAGGGAGAAGATGCCTTGTCAACATTGGGGGCGGGAGGAAGGTAGAGGCTCACTATAAGAGAGTTCTCGTTCTGTAAGACTAAGGGGTTTCCCCGAGGTCACCCACTACACTGGTAACTGGCAAAGCCATGACTGTACCCCAGGCTAACATGGAGAAGCTGTGCTCCAAAAAGAGCAGAAGTTCCCACTGGTCCTGCACTATCCTTACTCAGAAATAGGGCAAAAGTCTGGGGGCCCTGTTATAAATTCCTGAGACATGCCCCCTTACCTCTGCGGATGGGTCCTATTATGTTGTTACTAGAATGTTTTAACCTCTAAGGCAGTGATTTTCAACCGTGTGCCATGAGAGGAATTTAGGTGTGCCAGAAAAATTTTTAAAGGTCATTAATTAAATTATTTGTGAAAAAAGTTCAAAGCACAGTAAACAAATTCTTCTTTTTACTTTTTTGTTTGCTCAACATAATTCAAGGTGTGGCACAGAAGTTTAACTGTAGATTCCAGTGTGCATGAGATAAAAAAGGTTGAAAAACACTGCTCTAAGGTGTATTTATGGCTAACTCCTTTACTCAAATCTTCAAAGAAATAAATGGTACTGAAAGAAGGGCCTTCTTTGAACCTCCTATAAGCCTTTCCTTCTCCCCAAGGAAGAAATATACACCCAGAAAGGAGGTCCTGGCGCCCTTTCCTGGGGTCTGTTGGACTTCTGCTAGTGGGGACCACCCAGAGAAAGAAATAGCTGTAGGTCAGTAAGATTGCACCAGCCATGTGGGAGTTCCAGGCAGGAGGGCGACAGATAAGAAGCCTGATTAGCTTAACAGTCCAGAAGACAGCACCACCCAGAGAGGACAGTGAGGACTGAAGTGACCTCCACTGAGAGCCTTTACTTGCTTGCCCTTTCTACTCCCACTTGTAGCAGCAAGCCCTGGTTCTGACCTTGGCTTTGATCTATTTTGGTGAAAGTCCTTTCTGGGTAGAAAAAACGAAGAGGAAACTTTAAATGTCTCCTTGAAGTCTGTGAGAAATACCAGCATGAACAAAGCTGAGTTCTCCCGTGGACCTGAACACCTTGAAGGTGCACATGCCCCAAGGGGGATGTTTCTTTGAGGCTAGGGCCTCTTGCTGTGGAAGGTCTGACTCTTGGCTGCCTTTATCACCCTGTGGCTGCAATGGAGAGACAGTTAATCTGGGATTCAGATGCTGTCTCCTTTCTCTTCCTTTTGACTTTACATCAGTAGGAACTGTGGAGCAGGATACTAGCTGAGACACTGTGCTGGATTCACAGGCCTCGGGTATCTCTCTCGTCTGGAGTCCATGTATTCCTGCTTTCCTGGGGGAAGTGGTAACAGTGCTTGTAGCCACCACAGGAAATTATGGGCGCTGTGCATGTGAATTTGTGTGTGTATGTCGTTTTATGGGTAACATCAAGCATGTTTATAAATATAAAAGATTCATAGACTAATTGAGGAGGAGTAGACTTAAAGTCTGTATTCTTTGTGGCCCAAACATTCTTTCTAAAGCTACAATTATTCAGTAACACTAGAGGGTAGAATTTCATAAGATAAGAAGGAGAATTTTATAATAAATTTAATGAAAATAGAATTCTAGAAACCAAAAGGAATATAAAGATGGAAGCTTTGGTTTCAGTTTTAAAAGCAAAAGAATATATTATGGTATGGATGGTGCACATTACCATTTTCCTGGAGCTGAAATGTGGATCAAACTTATAATTTTCTCAAATGAGATAGAAGCATGTTAAAGCATTTTACTTCCCCCAAAATAAACATTTACTCACTTGTTCTCATTTGTGGGATCATATCGGGGAAATGGATCATGGTCATTGTCATTAAAATCATAGCTAGCCTCTGGATCCTAAAGAAACAACAAAAATAACACTGTAGTGTCATTAAAAAAGAAAAAAAAAGCAGCACTTCCCAGCCCTCCACCCCTTCCTTTCCATCCTGGCTGAAAGCTCAAAAGCCTGCATTTCAGGGCATCTGGCCTAGTCACTGAATATTTATTATTCAGTGGGCAGAGCTGATGAACACAGCGAAGTGAGCCAGGATGTAGTTTCAGTGAAGGTCACAAAAACTATGGTTCATAGATGCTTATAGGATGTTGGAGATGGAGTGAATCACTTTACTTATTTCAATCATCTCATTTTTCAGATGATAAAATTGAGGGCCAGAGAAGTTAAATAACTTAACTAAGGCCATAAAGCTACTTAGTATGTTTTGACACTTATCTGTGTTATGAATATAGGTGCAGAGAGATAGCTGTGGGGTGAGACCCAGGTCTATGGTGATCTCTTTCAGCCTCCCCAGGTACAGTAAATAAATGTGTCATTTAAATGAAGAGAATGTGCTTGAAATTCAGGACAAGCTTCTAGGTCCCAGTCCCTTTTCCAACCAGATTGCTACACATAGAAATTCTATCATCATTATTGCTACTTCTCAGTGTTGTCTATATCTTTCAATAATTCTTACTTTCTACTCTGTACTAATGTTTTTCATCTTTTCTTTTTCTTCCCCTTTCTTTTGCTCTTTTACTTTCAGCTATAGCTGGCAAATGCTGTGTGGGTGGGAAGCTCGAGGAAGACAGACAATCTTAACGATGAGGTGTCCATCTTCGGGACCTGAGGCCTGAGATACATTATGGAGTCCATCTTATATTATGAACTGCAGAAATAATGAAGCAAATGGTTTTCATTTAGTTATTTTCCCATTCCTGGTAAATTCTTCGCTTCTCAATGTGTCCTATTTGCACTGTGCAGTGTTCACCTTAAATGTGCGTGGGAATCACATTTACATAATTTACAAAGTCAGGGATATGGACCCATAAAAGATGTGGGAGGGAGATGTGAGAAATGACCTCAGCATCAGGCTTGATCTGATTATGGTAAGGCCCCAAACACCAAGTGTCTCAGAGTCTGAGTGGTGTTTAGTAACTTAATCGATGTAAGTACTGCCCTTCCTTCTCCCAATACATATGTTTTTATACTATTCTTTGACTCCACTGAATTCTTTCATGCACACTGGCACAAAATAAGTTCATATGGGCTGGTGAGAGTGTGACAAAAGGGGCAAAGCATTAGCCCATCATCGCAGCACTGACATCAGAGACAGCTGATGTCAGAGTCTCTGATGTCAGCTCTAAGAGCTCCCTAAGTCACAGACAGAGGAGAGCCCAGACTCACATAATTGTCATAGATGTCTGTGTGATTCCACTCCAAGCCATCATCCAGGACAGTGATGACAACTCCTTTGCCAGTGATGCCTTTTTGCCAAACAGGTATCACGTGAAGATCTAGCTTGGGCAGGGCTGCAGTCATCCTGGTGTCTTGCTGGTAGAAAAAAGCCAAGAAGCCTTGTTAAAATTCTCACTAGCTTGCTATACTGTGAGAACTTATGCTCCAACCTGGAGACCCATCTTTGTTTTTCCTTGGGTAATTCTAGACAGCCATTAGGTGAAATGAAAAATAAAGTTGAGCCAAATGAATTATCTCAATACTGCTTTCCCCCTAGTTGTTCTAGTGGAAAATCACTTCAAAAGATGAATCAACAGGACTCCATCTCTTTGAAATACATGGCTTCAAAGAAGTTTATCCTTAAGTTTCTCTCATTTATAATAAGTTACTCAAGCTTTTCATCTATCTGAAGCTTTATCTACTGGGAAATATTTCCATCTCTCCCAAATCCTGACTCTTTGTTGCCACACTGAGCTCACATTACATATTAATTATAATATATTGTCTGACACACAGTTATTGGGGAATGAGTTATAATTTTCTTCCAAAAGAAAAAGTAGAACCTGGAATACTCAGGAGACTATGATCTTATCAGAAATTGCTTAAGGAGTAATTATCTGTGACAGGAGATTTGGGGTTTTCCTTTACAAAGAATTTTTCTGATAGTTACAGTGTATGGTACTCTACAGGGGAAGAGTTGGGTGGCAAGGGTGGCAGACATAATCACATTTCCCAGTACATGAGAGAGATACAGTCAAAGGATGCTAGTGGAAGGGTCAGTAAGAAATGCGTAAGTATCAACAGTCAGAAGTGTCAGTGAGTGGGCCACCCCCTTACTGCTGCTCCTGAGTAAGAGGTATGTGTATGTGGGGTGTGGGGGTGGGGATGGGAATTTACCAGACCAGTATGAAGCTGAGTCACAAGAGGCTGGAACCATACACAGACTATTGGCCAAAGCCAGAGAAGGCCTCTGCATCAGTTGCAGGAACAATTATAAATTATTGTTGTTAAGGGTACAACCTCCAGAGCCATGCATCATAGTCCCACCACCAGTAACTGTGTTATTTTGGAAAATTGTTCTACCTGTCAATGTCTCTGTTTCTTTATCTGTTAAATGGGCATAATTACTGTACTGGGACAACTTAAGGTAATTGTGAGGACTCAATGAATTAATTCATGTCAAACACTTAGAATGGTGCCTGCATGCAGTAAATGTACAACAAATGTTAGCTGATAAGTTTCTTTTGTTGCAATGAGTAAGTACTTAGGTTGAGATTGTGGCAAGAGAAACTGATCCCATTTTCCACTCATTATACAACAAGCTAAGCCTTAGATAATGGTTGTCATGAAAAATTATCTTTTGTAATAGTCTCAGCATTAAACCCTTCTATTAACATGCACTACTACCAGAGAGGCTTAGCATTAAAACTGGAGAGAGGGCGCTGCAGACAGGCAGGAACATTTATGATTTCTCTGCCCAACACCTACACATCAGTAAAGAGTTGGTAATTGCATTAAAGGAGACTGGTTTTCAAGTGTAGACATTGGCATTAAGCTTCCTTGTGCTCCTTCCTTCAGCCTCTTTCAGAGATTCTCACCTCCATCATGAAACACTGTCATTCAGGGCTGTGTATACTGAGTCATACTCACTGTAAACTGTGAGTAATTTAAGGAGTTCTCAATATTAACATTAACCAAATGAAATTCTTGTCATGAGTTTTGTCTTTGGAACCCCTATCCGATGATACATGATTTTGCATTTACCCCAGATAAGGAGACAAACAAAGATACAAACCCTTCTATTGTAACAGCTAAAGTTCTCTGTTTCAGGCACCCTCACCCAACAAAACAAAGGTTCAGAGCAAGGTAGGTCCAATCAGCCTTAATCTTTAGACAACATGACCCTCTACTAAATTCTCCAGCATAAAAAAGGGTCCATTGTACAGATGTAACAGTATAAAGAACCCAGATCCCACATGGTCCTTCTGTAGGTACTTACCAAGTACCATTGCTGATTCCACATTGGATCGTTGAAGAGATTTCCTGCTGAGTCTCGTGGAGCTGAACGTTTACTTCTCTCTTTTTCATACTGCTGTTCAGCCCATACCACCTACAAGTATTTTTATAGTAACAAAATCAAAAGTCAAACAGCCACCTCTGTATATTCAACTTCCCTCCAACTATTTCCAGTACCCTGCCCATCACAGTTCAGGCAGCTCCACAATATTTGTGTTTTACTGCAGATCAAACTGGCAACTCTGTGAGAAGAAGGGGTTGACCACTGGGGAGATGAACGTTTCTTCTATTTCAGTAAAGTGCATCTGTGTGGGGAGGAGAAGCAGTCAGTGAGATGATCTTTCCCTCAAAGTATTTACAGTGTGCATAATTGCCAGGTCATGGAAGAAGCCCAAGTGCCCATAGATCCACAAATGGATCAACAAACTGTGGTATATGTACACCATGGAATACTATGCAGCCATAAAGAAAGATGGAGACTTTACGTCCTTCATGTTCACATGGATGGAGCTGGAAAATGTTCTTCGTAAAGTATCACAAGAATGGAAGAAAAAGTATCCAATGTACACACCCCTATTATGAAACTAATTTATACCTTTTATATGTAAGCTATAACCTAATAACAGCCTAAGAATACAAGGAGGGAGGAGGGAGAGGGGAGGACGGAATGGGTGGAGGGAAGGGATTGGAGGGATCACTTCTGAGGTTTATCTTACAAGGGTACAAGTGAATCTCTCTAAGAGTAGAATGTGAATGTTTTAGAACAATAACTAAGAAAATGACATGAAGGCTATGTTAACCAGTTTGATGGAAGTATTTTGGATTGTGTGTGACAACCCACACTGTACCCCAGAAGTGCATTAATGTACATAGTTACCATTCAATTTTTAAAAAAAGTATTTACAGTGTGATTAGAGTAGAAGCAAAAGTTCAACCTGCTTTCATCAGCAAATGGATCATAATGCCCATTTTTATATTGAGGTTCCAGGACTACATAGCTGAAAATTTGTCTGCTTTAATGGAAAGAGTGGACAAGTGGAAAAACTTCAAAGACTGCTGTTGTGTTACTTTTACAGATTAATTTCTTTTTCTTTGCATGGGAAAGATAGAAATTACAAATACATAGTATAACACAAGACAAGGATATTATTGTTTGTGTTTCATCCTCCTGTCTAAGACCATTTAACATTAGAAGCAGACCCAGGGTGATGAGTGAGCACTACTGACCATGCACACTTACCATTAACCCAGCCTCATGGATTATGCAGGGAGATCTGACAAGACAGAATCACCTGCCCACATCTGCAGTGTGATTCTATGATACGAGAGGCCCTGGGAGACTGGGGCACTGTCTTATAGCTATAGTGACTATGAGGTAGTGCTATACTTTTATTTTTCTGGACAATATAACTATTTCCTACAAAACAGATCTTTTCTGTTGTATACGTGATAATAGTCCAGGTTGTGGTGGGATATTGTTAATGTGAGGGTACTCATGAGCCAGATCCAAAAATAAAAACTGAAAGATAATTAACAACTAAAGGTTAAAACCACCCACTAAGACTACCCTGAATTTTCAATTACAAAACATACTGCCATCCTATTATAAACCTTGGGAGGGACATGAGTGCTGGAAATTAGTCACTATAATTTATTTTTAAAGTACTTGTATTTTCAAGATTAATTGTTTTGGCTTAAAATACCTCTATGCTTGGAATACTGCCCATCATCTGAGTTGGTCTTTGGAAGCTGGCTTCTAGGGAACAAGTACTAATCTTCAAGGTAGAGGGTCACTTATAGTTGGAGATTTAATTAACAGACTTGTAAAGATAGACTATCACTGCATTTTGCAGGGTTGATTTGAAAGAATATTATCCTCCATCAAAAAAGAACAATAAAATGAAAATCAAGAGCAATTTTTAGAAATGGAATGTAAAAAGAGGCACTCCACAATCTGATCAGATAAACATCCAATTGTAGGAAACAGTGTTATGATTAATGTCATTAACTCAGAATCACACATTAATCTCTAGAAGAGCAGGCCAAATGGAATAGATAAAAATTGATAGTGTCTTTCTATTATACATAATAGGTATCATATACTTCATTGTAAATCATACTTTGATCAGAAAGCGTGTTAAAGATCATCTACTCCAACCTTCTATTGCAAGATTCTATGATTCTGGGATTTTTCATAAAATAAAAGTATTACTGGGATCAGTTTTGATAGTATATAAATTCCTTTTTTATTCTTTGTTAGAGAATAAATTATTAGGTCTTTTCATTATATGTTGGAACTTCCTCCAAAACCGACTACCAAGGAATGAAGTCATTTTTATGAAATCCTGGGAGAATCAGTAACAGGTGGATGTGCTCCCCTCTGTCTGACCTTCTCTTGCAGGGATGAGAAGGAGCTCGGTTTGACTTCCATGGGCATTAATGAGCATTTAGGCAGAGAAGGAAATCTCTCTCCAAAACTAGCCAGGTGTTGGAAGTGGTCTTACTTTTCAGAGCCCACATACATGACTTGTCTTCCTTGGAGTGGGTAAGGGAAGGGGAAGACCTCACTGGATGAGAAATTTAAAGGAAAACTCCGGGACTCTTCCTGGGTCTTCCACATCTAGCAGTAGCTTGGCAGAAAGAGGCCCCCCCACCCCTCAAAGGTGTGCCTGAGCCCCATAGCTGCTGTCCAGGGTCCTGACACAGCTTCCTTTTCAGGCTGTGCTTAGTCGCTCACATTTGAACAATGGTGGCTCAGGCCAAATCATTCCCTATCATAATTTGCCACCTTCTTCTTCTCCTTAAAATTCTACCCATTGTAGAATGAATAAAACAGAAAATCATTTTACAGTCTTCATGAATTTCATGTACATTAACATTTTTATCGCCTTTCTGTCCCTTAATACTCCTTCCCACCCCTCCAGGAAGTGGAAAGAATATTTTTAATCCTCTCACCAAGAGGTTGTCTCACCGTAATTCTCCAGAGTGTCCTAGGCAGCAGAAATCATATACACAAATAGGCCAATAGCAGTAAATTTCCTTCAGTATGGCACATTCTTGAGAAAAGGCAACACTGTACATGTAATTCAGGTATATATAAACTGCAATATTCCCAAAACAGTCAACATTTTCTATTAATGTATTTTCCAACCTTGAAAACAGACTTTAAAGAAATAAATAGGTACACTATTATCCCTCCCTATTTACACACCTATTGATTCCAGACATTTTCTGCTATTGCCTAAATATTAGATCAGATAAATCAGGATGAAAAGAGACCAAATGGTTTGGATTAAACAATAAAATACTTCTGGAAACATTTGCCTCATGAAGACACAGACTTAGAGTTCTCTTCTAAAAACTAGCTACTTATTCAGCAAAACCAAATAGAAATGGCAGAATGTTTTTCAGTTACACAGAAATGTTATTGAAAGCAAGGTTCATATATTTCTCTGGCATCCCAACATTGGGATTAAAGTGCTTGGTACATAACAGGTACATAATAAGAGCTTGCTGATTGATTGTATTGTCAACATTTTCATTAGTGCTGCCTCCTGATTTTTAATATTCACTTTTATTGCTCTTAGACTGTATTTGCAAGTATACATATAAAATTAACTGTAAATAAATAATCACAACATATAATATATTTCAGCTCAATCAATCCAATCCAATCTTATTATGTGTAATTATAAGTTTATGGAAAGATACTAAAAGCATTGCAGTTAAACAAGTATGATCACAATAAAAAAAGCATTATCTATTTGAAAAATGCTTTTTTTCTAATTAGAAATCATAAATAAAACAGATAAGTCAGGTATTGATTTGAGGACAAATGCATAACACTCACACGATCATCGTCAGATAATCTCTTAGTGATATGAAGGGCACTCCTTCGAGACCTTCGGGGATGGGTTTTATGTTTGAATAGGTAGTGATTTTCAAGTGATCCAATCTATAAGAGAAAAAAATAAAATAAAAACCCAGTTTCTCAAACATGGCTATACAGGCCAGTTTGAAACCCACCTAACTTAGAGGCAGGCAACTTAACTTTCTTTTTTTTTCATAACCTCTTTTCTATGGGAAAGAATTATTTATTTATTTATTTATTTTATTTTTGAGGCAAAGTCTCACTCTGTTGCCACAGGCTAGAGTGCTATGGTGTCAACCTCAAACTCCTGGTTCAAGTAATCCTCCCATCATAGCCTTCCAAATAGCTGGGACTATAGGGGCCCACCATGACACCTGGCTAAGGCAACTTTTATTAAACCTATTCCTTTTACCTAAAGTTAACTTTTTTCTTGATGATGAAGACACTGATAAAGGTGTTGAGATGACCCTCAGGTTAGTTTTGCTTAGGCTTGCAGTGTACTTGGGGGCTAGTGATGCTTCCATTTCATTTGCTTTGTGTGTCAAAATTGTATGAATAGACATTTCTCCAAAAGGAAAAAAATACTCCTTTAATCAATTATTGATGGATAACAGGCAAATACTTGGAATGCTATCTATGGTCAGTGCCACATTTATCTAAAACAAGTCATTGTTGCTAAAAATAAAAATGTAGCCAATGACTCAATGATAGTTGTTATAACTACTATTAGTGACCATTTGATTTTCTACTAGTTTGAGGCTTTCAGAAAAGAGCATGCTACATTTAGGACAAGTCTTCTGTACTTCTCTGGATAGCTATCAACACCTTTGCTCCATTCAGAACTGTGTTCATTATTCTTTTAAACTAGTGACCCATTACTCAAAACAGTACCAAATTTAAAGCTACCAAATCCTCTAGATGCCCTGCATTTTTAAAATTAACAGATAAAAAATTGACAACAATTTTTTTTTTCAGAAGAAGCATGTTCTTTAAATGTATGTTTCTCATTATGTATAGAATCTTTTAATAGAGATACTTAGGCCCTGTTCCAAGTCTGAATCTCAGGGAGTGGATCTGTGGTAAGCTGTAGATGGAGTTGGAGAGAGAGATCAGGAGCCATCCCTACTTAGAGACCACCCACATTTGGTTCTGTTTCTGCTGATAACTTGTTCTACTTCTTGTCACTACCTTAATCTTGGCTTTATCTGGAGGCCATAGGGACTCAGGATAGTAATGCTAAATTAGTATAATTTTAGTAATACACAGCAAAAGGAGAAATAAACAGAACCAGGAAAGAATTGAATTATCAGTCTTTTACAAAGAATTACAATTCTAACAAAATAACTTTTGTTAAGTTTGTTTTAAAATATTTTCAGTAATGTCATTTTAACTAACAATGAAGAAAATATGGTATTGCCAATCATATGTAAACACAGATAGTTTTTCCCCACTATTTTTTAATGCTTTTTCTGGCTATGTCATCCTCTTCCCAAAACACCCTCCCAAGAGTACTAATTTATTATTGTCTTTTACTTTTTGGATATATGTTTATTTAATGTGAAAAGCAGTTCTCACATTGAACAGTCCAGATTTAGATGTGTGTCTGGGGCTAACAGGTGGGACAAAGAAGAGGGATTGATTTTTTGCGGTCTCTCTCAATCTCTTTCTACAGTCGCCAGTGTTCAGTAACAGTAGCTGCCATGGGACATGTATGACTTCCAAGATGCCCACAGTTCCGCCTGCTCTCTCTTTCCCTCTCAACAATTCCCCACAATCGCCTGCTATTACCAGACTTACTATTCAGTTGCTTTATGCCCCACTGTTTCCCACTAGCTGTTTTCTGTTTCTGATCTCATCCTGGAACGTCCAACTTCCAACTGTTCTTCCTCAACCTTTTGCAAGGTTTCCTCCTTTGGACCATCTTCTTTCACCTCTCCCAAATTCCCTTCCACCTTCATTCTTTCAACCAACAAATACTAAGACTCCAAGTACAACTTCTATCATTATACAAACTACATTCACCTTCAGTTCTTTGCTTCTAAGCCTCCTCCAGATTTCTTATTCCTTGAGGGTGTTTCTTCCCCCCCTCTTATTCCTACCCTTCTAACACAGAGCCTGGCACAGAGCAAGAGCTGGCGACAGCAAAAGGCTCAGTCTACTGGGACCCGGGGGTGGGGGTGGGGGTGTCAGTCTGCATTGACTTTGCTGCCGGGCATTGCAAACGCTGTTTGGCTCATAAAGTTGGAGAATGAAACCTTTATCAAGAGAAAGCGTATTCCCCAAGGGGATTGGATCTATGGAATCGCCAACGCCCACGCGGATTACTCATCCGCTACTTCAGCGGCGTCTCATCACCACCTCCAGAAAAAAACGCGCCAAAATGTTTTACAACTCCCTCTTCCCCCATTTCCAATTTACCAAGTTAAAAGGCAGGGGGCCAGGGCTTGATTTTGAGCCGAGGGAAAAGAAAGCTCTAGATTAGAAGTCACAGCCCAAGCAGTCCCCTCGGAATTACGCCGCGAAGAGCTCGCTCGCTCACGGCCTTCGCTCCCCACCTACACCCGCAAGCTGTCTATTAACCCAGCCCCCACATGGACAGGCTACAGTTTCCATCATAAACTGGACCCCCCAGCCCGGAGAAATGGGAAATGATTATGCCCTTGGCTGAAAACAATAAAGAAATAGATCCTTTCCTGGAGTCAGTTCTGTTGCTGGAGCAAAGTTGGTAGGCTTGGACTTTAATAAGTTCCCATTGAAAACCCGGAGCTCCCCGGAGAGGCGTTAAGAAATGTTCCCTTGTCCTCCCCCACCCCCTTCTCCGGCCAACTCCCCAGGCCATTCGGCGGCCTCCGAACCTCGGGGGCGCGAGTCCCGGCAGCTGCCACTTTTCCAGCTCTCTGGAGTACCCCCAAGGCTGCCAGGGGACATCCCCAAGCTTTCTTGGTCCCCTGCTTTGGGGCTTGCATCTGACGCTGCCATATTGAAAAGAAGGAAACAGCCGGCTCCTGTCGCAGACCGCGCGCTGTCCTGGGGGAGGGAGCACACTGCCTCTCCCGGGGCGCTTGGTTGCCGAGAGCTTGAGTGCATCTCAAGTTGCCTGAACTAGCTTGGAGGGGATTTTTCTTCCAAACCGCACGGGAACAGATTTCAATTCCAGAGCTGCCAACAGCAAAATATAAGCTCTACCCAACTGCAGTGGCTTCCTTCTGCTTGGCTGCGCCTAGTACAGACAGTAAATAATGCAAGCTTTCTCCGCAAGCGTGCGGGGGTCGAGAGCTGGAGAAGCCCCTGTTTCTTTGCCACTCTGAACGCAGGAGAGTTGGACTTGGGACTCCACTTGGAGCACCGCGCTACAGTCCCGCCAGTTCCCCAAGCCCCAGAAAGTTTCTTGAACGTGAAAACTCTTACCTGACCCAGAAGGTCATAGTCCAGCTCCTCGGCGATGGCAGACGCTGCGGCTGGGCCCCCGGGAATCTCCGCCGCCCATTCATTGACAAACTGCCTCTTCGCTTTAACACCGTTGAGCGCACACCAAGCGCAAAAGAGGGCGAAAGCGGTGCACTGCAGGGTCCAAGCTTTCCGCTCCATGCTCACACGCAGGCTCGCACGCAAGTGGGAAGGAGAGAGGGGCAAGAAACAAGACAGGAGAAAAGCCAGACAGAGTCGCGCTTCCCACCCGCCGGCTCTGGACCGCTCCTGGCTCCCGGTTGCTCTGGGAAGAGCTAGGAGGCGCGCGAGGCGAGGCTGGGCGGCGGCGGACGCGCAGTGAGGCGCTTCGGTCTCCAGGCTGAGTGGAGCCCCAGCCCTACCCAGCCGGAATGGAAATGAGTGTTTACACGTCAAATCGACGAAAGCCATCTCTTGACGTCAGATCTACCTGGACTAAGATCAGAATGGTATTCCCAGCGGGGTGGAGAAGCGGCTAAAATAAGCAGGGAGGGATTAAGGAAAGGAAGGAAGGGTTTGCTGGGATCAGTTAAGCCTGCTCCCCGCCAGCTGTAGCGGCCTCACTTCTCAGAGGACTGCCCCATCTGAGTGCAACTACCGAGAACCAGAGGCGGGAGAGCAGCACACTTTCCCTCCCGCCCGCCCATTCTCTTTATATTTACTCTATTATCTTGTGGGGAGGGGAGGGGTGGTGGTGGATAGAATTCTTACAATGGCCCTTTGAATATCAGCACCTGCTAAGAAGAACAGGGCTCAGATCTTTCCAACCAAACAGAGGCTGAGGGGGTAAAGAGGAGGGAGGCCACTGCTGCCCAAATTCTGCTTTAAATTACCGAAGAAAATGAACATGTTTCCAAAATGATGTTAAAACGATACTTTTAAAAATGAAATTTTCAGCAAACCACCTTAATTTACAAGTTTACTGCCTTCTCTCCCCTGTTGCTCAAACCTCAGTAATATAATATCTAAAATTCTAGATATTTTAAAGTCCAGTACCACCATCAACTCTACAGTGCTTATCAGACAAATAATTAATAACATGATTTTTAAAACTTTTTTAAATTTATCGTCATGGGGGTGGGGGAGTACACCAGATGCTGTTGTATTGACTCAGGGAGGAAAGAAGCAGGTTTCAAGAACCCTGAACTTTCTATTTTCCCTCAATAGAGCTCTTGACTCTGGTGCCAAACTGGAGCTGTGTCATTACTTTCCCATGAAATACACAATATCTTTGAGGTAAAATGTTTTCCTGTGGAAAGAAAACAAGCAAACGTCTAAAAGAACCCTCCACTTCCCACCCTCGGGAAATTGGTTCGATCTACACGGCAGAGGCTCTTCCAGTCTTGCGGTTCTGAACCTCGGCGTCCAGTATTCAGCAGCAGGGGCTGGACAGCGCCGCCCGGGGACTGCGGCCATTCCGCCCTGGCTCCTGAGCGCCGAGAACCCCCGCCCTTCTGCAGCTGCCTTCACTAAGCTGTTTTCCTTCTGACGCAAGCCTTTCCCCTCTGTCCAACGGCAAATTAGGAAACTGACCGCGGGGGGCGGAGAGGGGAGTGGGGTTAGATTTATGGTGGTGACTACTTGAAACGAGCTCTCTCGGGGACGCGCTGGACTCAGCCCAAAAGTAGAATTGCCGGGAGATGAAAGCCAGCGAACGTGCAGGGTCTGAGAAATGCTTTCCTGTTCTAGCTCCCAACCGCCGGGGGCGCAATCTCTTCCAGAGAAATAGAAAACTTTCATATGCGAAGACGGCGTACGAAGGTATGGAGAAAGGAAGCAAAAGATATTTTTTGTATGAAGAAAACAAAAGAAGACTTGGTAGAGGATGGGGCTCAGCTAATTTTACATTTGCATCCATGTTTGCAGAACTATGGACTAGAATTATAATTTCTTTGAAAATAAACATCTTTTCAAAAATATCTTTTCAATGTTCATAGGCTATGTGATGCAGTCCAGCGTTTTAGAATCACGTACTGTCATGTGAGAGAGAGCTCTGCTGTCTGCTCTTTGTTTTACAGAGCGTGTAAAGCCACGTGTGGGTGTTGTTGGCTGAGCAAGCTGTCTTCTTTTTCCTTCACGCCTCAGCCTGAATTGTGACCTCAAGCTCTTGGGGGGTGTTTCATTCTCATGACAGACAGATGTTAACTGTGAGCTAACAAGGCAAGGCAAACCTGTGGAAAGTGCTTAAAATGGTAGGTGTGGTCAAAACAGGAATGTGTTGCCCCTTTATTATTATTGTTTAAGTCAGTCAGTCTGGCAGTATTGGCAATAAGGTAGTGTCTCTTTCATGAGGCATTCATCTTAAATGGAGCGCCACACAAGCCTGGAATAAACCTTTGGTTGATATACTAATAGAGCAAACTAAACTTTCACAAGAACGTAATATCCCCATCCACACAATAATCTGCAATGTCCTGAAATTGTCTAATTTTTATCCTATGAACCTTATTGGCCACAATTTCTGGGGTGCAAAAGAAATAACTTTTTACAAGGCTAGAAGAGAAAACTGATTTATAATATATCCTGGGGCAGCACCTGTGGCTCAGTGGGTAGGGCGCCAGCCTCATATACCGAGGGTGGCAGGTTCTAACCTAGCCCTGGCCAAACTGCAACAAAAATAGCCGGGTGATGTGGCAGGAGCCTGTAGTCCCAACTACTCGAGAGACTGAGCAGGAGCGTCGCCTAAGCCCAGGAGTTGGAGATTGCTGTGAGCTGTGATGCCATAGCACTCTACCAAGGGCAATAAAGTGAGACTCTGTCTCTAAAAAAAAAAAGAATATATCCTAACGTGTTCATATCAAAGGCTAGTTCTGTCCTGTTTTGTGGGTCAGAGTAATAACTTCCAAGCTCATCAGTATTATATTTGATATCATGAATGGAAGAGCAAATTATCACCTCTTAAATTGTTTTTAATAGTCTCCGATTCATTTGATTAAATTATATACAAAACAGAATAATCCAGAAACTAAAGAGAATTGTGTCTCCATGATGAATTATTAGTTTGTCATAGTTGAGTGTCATGCTTTTCATGACTACTCAGAACTGCCCAGTGATACAGCTAATCATTTTAAGTCTTGAAGATTAATAAAAGCAATGCTAGTATGAGCAGGAAGTAAGAATGTGTTCAGATGAGATCTATAGATTGCCATATGTCTTTAGTCTTAGAAAATGAATGTGTTAAACCTTTTGTTATTGTTAAATTAAAAAGGGCTCAGACTTTTAGCTCTGTGGTCTGCTCATTGTTTTACTGTACTCTTGAGTACAGAAATCAATGTGCTCAATGATTGAACACCTTGTAACTATTCAGATCAAGAAAAGAACATTTCTAGCTCTAAAGTATAATATTCTAAGATATTTAAAAGGTGTTAGAGAAGGAGTGAGGAAATAATGTAGGTTTAACACTTTCAAAAAAAAACGCTTTCCAATTATTATGTAGACTTACTTGTTTGCTGTGGGAAATGGTAATTACACATTAACACAAATGCATAATTAGTCTGTAATTAAACTAGAAATGTTTTAGTAACAGAATATATTATACCTACCTATAGCAGTGTTTTCCCAACATAGAAAATAAAATTTTGTGGTACACTGGGGGTAAACTAGAGGAAATTTGGGAACAACTGAGTGTGTGATTTTTTTTTATATGATACAATTATGATAGGAAAATAAACTACAGCATTTTAGGCAATATATGAAAATTGAATATAGATCACTTTAAATTAAATAATATAAATATGCTTTCATCAAACAACTTTTCATCTCACTCAGATTTTGAGCTTGAAAGGCTATCTATCATGTCTAATCAAGAAATTATAATGACAAATGATCTTTTCAGATTCTTGATAGCTCTGTCAATGAAAAAATTTTTGCACAAGTAGAGAACAAAAATTTTGAAGGAACTCTATAATCATTTAAAAATTTGCAGCATTTGATTTTAAATAATATAACAACTCTTCCTTTTATTTTCGGGCTAAATTTATCATTGGAATTTCATAAGAGGATGTGTATTCATTTAAAATCCACCTAAATTTTACATGTCAAATATCACAATATTGAAATTCTAAATTTAAAACTATGCATACTTTTTAGAAATGTTTGCCAAGCATCAACTCTGTCATAAATGGATAAAAGTATCTAGCATGTGGGAAGACTGATATTGGGGTCACCACCTAAAGATACACCTGCCAGAAGTCCCTGACTTACTTTCTCCTTATCTCTCCTCAAGAAAATTTCGGTGAGCCTGCTATGCTCATGAAGCACTTTCTTCCAGCAAATCCACACTCACTTTTCACATGAGAGAAAGAAGCATGCTTGTAGTGGGTCTCTGAAGTAAGTACAGTTGAGGTAACAGACATTCTGCTTAGTGGATTTCCAGACGCTCAGCATTAGCAATTTGCCAGGTTTCCCCAGGTAGGAGAAGACCAAATATCTTGGGGAACATCTTTCACTCTGCCAGTTGGGAAATGGTGGCCGCAGAAATGAACATAAGAGAATAACAAAGCGAAATCTGCATATTGAAAGGCTCTGAGAATTCAAAACTATGAAAAATTTTTGCTGAATGAACTATGCAAACACTTAAAATCTTAAGTTTAATATAGAATCAAATTGAACATTATTCAAACTGAAGCAGTGAAAGCCATTAATCCCAATTATTGAAAATTATTGCCTTTTTCTAATGAAAATAAAATGTAGTAACATAGAAGTATTTGGTAAAAATTTTTCTGTCTTTAAAAAAAGGCTCTTTTTAAATATACATTTACTGAGTGAGTTTTAGACTATCCCTGTTTCTGCTTCTACGTAGTGCTCCTGCTTCCTTTATGTTCTCAAACACTGATGTTTTGATATGGAAATTCTAGTGCATAGCTGCTTTCTGTGCTCCTGAAGTATATTTTGCTATGAGAACTATAGGCTCTCAGTATTGAAAAGTGACCTTGAAAAAATACTAGTCTAGCAAGAGGGAGAGTAGATACAAAGAGGTGGGGGGGGGGAGGAGGGAGAAAGGAGGCGGGAGGGCGATTAGTGGGTCTCACCTGATGTGCACAGTGTGACTGTGTTTGGCACATCCACCTAGGTGAAGGGCTCAACTACAACTTGAACTTTATCTCAGGATTGAAAACAATGTAAACTAAACATTGGCACCCTCATATTAATCTAAAATTTTAAAAAATTATTTTAAAAAAAGAAGAGTAAAAGAGGAAAACAAGAATAATAATGATAAATAATTCAAAACCCTGTATCCCAACAATATAATACTCAAAAAGGGAAATAAATAATGGTAATCTGTTAAAAAATAAAAAAGTGACCTTGAATATTATATAGTTCCTTGCTTCTCAACGTATTGTCCACATACCAGCATTACAGGCATCACCTGGG